CACATTCTCCGGTACTGGACCGGTTCGCCGGACCAACACCGCCAAACGAATCGCCGTTATCCGGCGATGATGATGCGGATTGGTGCGGCTACTCGTGAATTGGCGCGTGCCAAAGGCAAACGAGCTTTCTTTGCCTTCGGGCTACTCGCTCGTCTCCCGTTCTACGTGGGATCGTCGTTTCGCCGCTACTCCTTTGCCCGTGGGTGCTTTCTTCTGGTACAAGACACAGGATGGGCTCTGGTGGCTGGGCAAGATTTCTGGACCACCTCTTCCGTCCGACTGCTACGTCGTCCGCTTCTTGGACGATCCTGGACCTGTCAAGCTCGCCCTTCCCGCCGTCCGCTATTCCACCGCCGCAACCGCCGTCTCCAGATCCTGGTGCCTCCAAATTCACAGCAGCAGCGCCCTTCTTATGTGTATTCTTCGCAACATCGACATGTCGCGTGGCGGCGTTGGGAACGATTCGTTGCCTGATGACTTCGCGCGCTCTCATTAAGATGACATGCTTGGTTGCCTTTAGTCATTTTCGTGTTTTTGCCGCAGGTTCTGTCGGCCTTCGTTTGGTGTCACGACATATTTTCGTTTTTCTTCCCTTACGGACTGTTTAGTCTTTCGCTTTTTGCATTTGCGGTCTGTCGATGTGTCGAGACCCAGGTTAATACCCGCGCACTGCCGTGGCGACTGTTTTTGGCATCTTGTGGTAGGCTGTGGCCTTTTCGTCGTCCCGACGACGTCCCTTTTTCACACTTTTCGCCAAGTCTCTTTCTTTTTCGTCGTCCAGACGATGTCCCTTGTTTTTTTTGTCGTTCCGACGACGTGCTTGTTTTCGTTGTCTTGACGATGCATATTTCTGTTTCTTTTTCCTTCCGTTGTCTGTCCTTCTCTTTCTTCTCGCGTTCAGATCTTTTCTGGTCCTGATTAGCCTTCGCTAGCGCATTATTTTTTCCCTTTTGTTGCCTTCTTTTCTTTTAGGAGTTTTTTCCGCGCGCGAAGCGCGCGTGCGAAAAAAACGGAGCGATAGCGGAGTTTTTTTTCGCAATAGAACTGTCTTAGATGGGTCCTTTTTGTTTCCCCGCCTGGGTTCTGCGCACGTTGAATAACACCGTCTGTTAGCCCGACCCCTGATTTATTTACTGTTCTCAAATTGAAGTCCGTGTGTGTGTTCGCACTACCTTTGCACCGATACACAACNCGATAACTGCGCCAATTGGCGACGTTCTGCAAAAAAAACGAGTGCCCAAGCCTACTCCAAATAGAATAGGTGAACACTTCTCGCGTCGTTGTTTCCTTGCACCAACCCCTACGTCACTCGTTCACACCCGGTTTGTCCTCTCTTTGCGGCGTCCTTCAACTGCTGTCATTTGGGACACGTATGTGTGTCGGTTTGGTTCTGCTGCTACGTGTGTGTCGGTTTGGTTCTGCTGCTGCTGTGGAGAAAACCTTTATAAAGAAAGGTTGAAACTCCCCAACGTCTATCGAGGACGAAACTCTCTTTTCCACAATGGCGTCGACGAAGAGATGTCAGGGGTTTGCTTTTGGTTGCAAGAGACACGGGTTCAAAACCCGCTGCTCACCTAATTTTCTTCCGGAGTACGGAAAAAGAAAAACGGTGGGTGGTCCAAGAAACGATGCACTACTGTCTATCGAACTCGAAACTTCTGGCAATGCGTGGCGGAAGACAAGTGGTGTACCCGCACACACGCCGCACACACGCACAGAAGATTGTTGGAAAAAAGATGGTCCTACTCGCCGCCAGCCGGTCGGGTTCCGGTTAACCCAAGAAGACTTCTCTTGCCTAGCAAACAAGAAGAAGTCTCGAAAAAGGGGGGGGTAATGTGGAGAACACCTTCATAAAGGTTGAAACTCCCCAACGTCTATCGAGGACGAAACCCTCTTTTTCCACACTGCTGTGTTATTTTTTTGACCTCGTCCACACCCTTCTTCCCCTCGCTCCTCGACAAGCTTTTGCTAGACATGGGTTGTAGCGAACGGGGGGGTCTTTCTGGCGAGCAGGGCTAGACTCACCCTCAAGGGATGACCGAAACCTTCTTGCTGCTGCGCATCCGCCGCGAGGCGTGCGTGTGGTGGTGGAGTTGGGTCGGCACTGATGGGGTCAGGCGGGAAAATGTAGATGCGCGGGCCTTTCTGGCCGTCGGCGTAGGCAGTGATGCCCATCTCATTTTTGTGCGCGGAGGCAGACACCATCAGAAAGGTGGACGGGCACTACACGGCCCTAG